TGGGTGTTTCCCCATCAGCCCAGGACCCCATTAAAGCAATGCCTCCAGCCAAATTCACAGGGCTCCTCCTCTCCAGCTGGATGGAGCCCAGGGGAGACAGGTGTTGGGGGACTAGGAGCAGGGATGGGCAGACTCAGGAGGTCTCTGGCCCACGTGGCAGGGAGGTGCACAGGAGGCAGTCAGCCTGAGATGGGGAGGTGTGGAGACTGAGGCCAGGAGGAGGGGACGACCACATCCCCCACGAGTGAGCCAGGGGAGACGTGCCTCCCTGCCAACCAGGAGAGCACACCAGCCCTGAGGCTGCGTAGTCCTCTTGGCGTCAGCTTCCTCACCTGTGCAGAGAGGGGCCCTACCCCAGGACCCTGGGCCTCTCCCTGCTCAGCCAGCCAGTGATGCCAGGAACCGCTGACCCAAGTCAGCTGCACCTGAGGTGGAGACTAGGCCACTTCCAAGGGGCAAGAAGACAGAAGCCCCAATCAGGTACTCAGGGTCTTGTGAGGTGAGTCAGGGCACCACCTACTGCATCACCCCCAGGGGCCACACTCCTCCCAAAAGCCAGGCCTGCCACCCCAAGTAGGCACGAGGTCCCCTGGGTCACAAGCACTCCCACCCCATCACCTCCAGGTGGGCCCATGAGAAAGCCAGATGGGGCCCTTGGGGGACAGAGGGGGGCCTTCAGGGACAGAGGAGGGGCCTTGGGGGCCAGAGGAGGGGACTTGGGGGCCAGGGTCATGAAACAAAGACCTCAATTTTGTTTCTTTTCCCTCAGGCACAGTTGCAGGGTAATCTCTTTTAGTGGTCAAGGGGGGCTGGCACACAGAGGCATAAAGAGAGTGAGGGACAGAGGAGGGTGCTCCTGGCGCGCTCAGCACCGGCACCAGCCAAACGGGAGTCTCAACACAGGGGAGGGGGTGGACCAGACACACTTGAGCCCCCTCTTCTCCTGAGCCCAAGGACCCCTGAAAAGGGAGCCCCTCTTTGTAACACAAGGCAAGAGGGCATCTGAGGTGAGGAAGCACTCCAAGTAGAAGGAACTGCTCGGCAAAGGGCAGAAAGAGGCAAGCCAGTCTGCTGACCAAGCCAGGAAGCAGACCCAGAGTGCATGAGAGGTCACAAGACACAGAACTGGAGAGAGAGGGTGGATCAGGACCGGGAGGGGCCCAGAAGCCAAGAGAAGGGGTACAAATGTGACACCAGACAGGAAGAGCTGATTGATGTGTATGTTAGAGGAAGCAGGAACCCCACAGGCCTCTTCTCCAGAGCCCAAGATCAGCCATCCCATCCCATCTTGACAACAGAGTGGGCTCACGTCTATCTCCCAGCACAGCACGTAGTCGGTGCTCGTGAAACAGACACATCAAAGACACCAGCAGATGGCGGGAGAAAGGATGATCCCAGATGTCACAGAGAGGAGGTCACCAAAGAGGAAATGAGCCCACCTCTGGTCTAGGGCTCACACCCCACCCCATCCTGACACCTTTTTTCCTATTACAAAGGCTTGGAGGGGGTTAGGGGGTAGGGAAAGGAGAGGGCAGGGAATGGAGGCGTTTCTGCCCAGCAGGTCTGCACCCGGGACTGGGCAATGCCCCAGCCATGACGTAGCACCTTGTGAAATCCATGGGCAGTGGCAAGTCGAGCCGGATGCCGATGGCTGTCAGGTGGGCACCGTGCCACCCTCTCTGGTTGGGGGTGGCAGGCGGAGCCACAGGCAGGTGAGTGGAGGGCAATCAGGCTTGGCTAGGAGGGTAGGGGCAGAGCCAGAGGGCCCCTGGGCAGAGGAGGGGGCTGGCAGGATTCCACACACACAGGCTAGGGGGCTCGCCACTGCTGAGAACCTCTAGGCCTGAGCCTGCTGGTCTCAGATGCCTGGGAGGCATTTTTCTCATGCATTTAATGTTTCCGGCACCCTGCCTGCACACTGCCATTTTACAGATGAAGACACTGAGGAATAGAGAGACAGCGATCAGCCCAAGGGCTACAGGCTACCAGGGAGGCCCCTCAGTCAGACCCCTTGGCTGGCCCTGCCCACCTTCACCTCCCAGGTACCCTCTCCCAGGGATGTCCACCCTCCCACCCAAGGCAGGATGGGGCAGAGGAGAGCCCCAAACCCAGCCCCCTGACAGTGAAGATGACAAACACCTCCCATTGGGTAGTGGCTCCTCTGTGCCAGCTGCACCATGTACACCCCCTTGTTTAATCCTACAACTACCTGCACACCGGGTACCATGAGCAGCCCATTTTAAAGATGCAAGGAACTGGCTCAATCCCTTGCTCATCTTGGGCACTCCCAGAAGGAGGCATGGTGGGGCTTGAACCCAGGCCACCACCTGAGCATTATCTGGCTCTGCCTGGAGGGAGAGGGCTGGACCCGATGACCTCCAGAAGATCCTGCTTCTCTGGCTGCCATTCAGTTCATTCACTGAGCCAAACTCTCAGCTCTTGGCTACATAAGT